ATTAAAAAAATTAATGAATACCAAAATACATTGAAGAATTTATACTAAGCCATTAAAGAGTTAAATTGAAATATAACTAACTAATTGATCAAGTCTCAATCTTTGTTAGAACCAAATACATTTCATTATTTTGATGAGTATCTCAAGTTCATCCAAAGTAACTAAGACAGAAAATGTGCATAGAAAATGAAATACCTAATTGATAGATGATGGATAGATAAGGAAGAACTCTAAAGATGAGCTGCTGTCACTCCCTCAGAGCTATCCTCCGCCCTTAGTCTGTGGCCTCTCTTTGCTGTTGGAGTTTTTAAAGAAAAAGAGAGAAAAAAGTGGCAACTGAAAACATCAATGCAAATGAATTTGCCAATTCAAGTTATTCTGTATTTGTTCAAGAGAGAAAAAAGTGTGCATTCTATCAACCAAGTTTAGTCCAATAAATTTTTTTTATAGATTATTGTCATTTATTTCCCTGACAATTTTTTCATTCTTTCTCTGTTAAAAGTTCAAACTCAGCAAGTCAGCAGCTATCCTCCTTCAGCCTCTTCAGTTATCTTTTGTTGTTTTAGTCGTTTCAAACGCGGGAGCTATCGTTCTCTCCTTAGAACCAAATATGTAGAAAGACGTTTAAATGAAAGAAGAAAAGGATGTTACCCCTAGCAATTGACCCATTCACAACATAAGGTTCATACTAAAATTTCAGTGAAACATCATCAGGTCAAATATCCAAAGCAAAGATCAAAACAAAATAAAAAACTGAAGACAAAAACATCATGTTCTGCAAAATTTGTATCAATGCCATTGAATAAATAGATTAATCTATTAAACAATAAATATTTACAGGGAACCAAGATTATACAATGAAACTACCTTTGCCTAGCTGTTTCAACCTCCCCTGTAGTTGTTTTCAGGATCCCTTTGTTGGGGCAATGGTCAAAAACTTAGCCAAGCCCACCCACTATCCTCGCCATGGTGCCCTTCCACCTTTTGCAGGCCCAGAGTTTTAAATCTGGAAACCGAAATGATTAACAGCCTAAAATTATGTTGTAAATACAGAGTATAGATGTATTAAAGAAAAAAGAAGAAAAAAAACTTTACCTTCAGTGAATCTGCTCATCGCTCATATTATCTTCAAAGTTTAACTATCGTCAACCCCAAGCCTGATTTAATCTATTATTCGGTGAGCACCTGATGCTAATAAGGCTATGAAAAATCTCCACGAAAGATCCGATGGACCTCATCACCTAAAACAGAACCCCCAAAAAGAAAACCCCCATAAATAAATTTGAAAAATAATAATATTAAAAATTACAGAGTATTTCCTTAAGGCACGTTTGGATGCAGAAATTAACCTGAATGATTCCTTTAACACGCCAAGCTTGGTCTTTGAAGACGACAATTTTTTCATCTCCGGGATGGCGAGATCTGAGCTCTTCCCTAACAACTGGAGAACAGGCATTGTGCTCACTGGTCAATTGGTCAGCAGAGATTCCATTGTTCGGCCTATTAAGAACTCCGAGAACAGCCCTTTAACTTCTCCTTGACCGGAAATCCTCTTCCTAGTTCCAATGGAAGGAGCGTTGGAGCAGCGACTTTGATAGATCTATTACACCAATCTATGTATTATAGCTGCAATTTCGGTTCCACTGCCCTCTGCTCACAGCCACCAAAATCCACCAAGCATGGTAGAAAACCTAGCCAGCGTCGT